AGAAGACGCTGATCATGAAACTGAGCGCTTCGAAGTAGAAGAGCGATACATCGAAACCAGTGTCACAACGGACAAATGGCTGACCGAATCCCAGCCGCCAACACCCAACGTCGCCGCAGCAGCCAGTTGCTGCACCCCTGCACTGTCATCAACAGGACTGCAGGTAAACTTACCGAAGGCTGATTTACCAAACTTCAGTGGTAAATTCGAAGAATGGCTATCGTTCAAGGACAAATTCACCTCGATGATCGATAGTCAAGATGCCTTCAGTAAGGTGCAAAAGTTCCATTATTTGCGATCAGCTCTGTCGGGTGAAGCTGCGAAGGTCATCGCAGCCATGGAAACGACAGAGCAGAATTATAGCAAGGCTTGGCAACTGCTCCAAGATACCTATGCCAACGAAGGGCTGATTATTGCACGCCACACCGATCTCTTGGTCGAAACGCCGTCAGTGGAACAAGAGACAGCTGCAGGACTCCGCGACTTCGTGAGTCACGTCTTGCAGCATTTGAGATCGCTGACCACACTCAACGTTCCAGTCGAACATTGGGATCATCTCCTAATGTCTATTCTGCTGCCCAAGCTCGCGCAGCAGACCAGGATGGCGTACGACAGCACGCTGAAGGATAAGGAGACGCCAAAAATTAGCGGTCTCATGGAATTCCTCCGCCAACGATCACGGAGGCTGGAGACGACCGCGACCACTAGGACAAACACCCAGACCAGCAGAGCATCACCAAGAGTATCACCCACGCCGCAAAGAAGACCAACCAAGAGAATTCCCAACATTTCTTCGAGGAAGGATTCTAAAGTCTTCGTCACCACCACGCCATTAAAAAATTGTGCGTTGTGTAAAGACAAGGCGCATACGATACATCGCTGCGAAGAATTCCACGCGCTATCCGTCAGCGAAAGAATCAACGCGGCAAGGAAGGAAAAATTGTGTTTTAAGTGCCTTCGGACTGGACATTCGACCCAAGAGTGTACTTCGTCCCAGTGCAGGATCTGCAACTTGGGACACAACACACTCCTACATCTGCCGAGGAGTGGGAGAAGATCACCGACGCCACCGAAGAAG